TGTTGACGGGCAGAACGTACAAAACATTATTTTTACGTGAAAGCTTAATTTCAGTACTTAAAATGCATGTAAGCATTACATGACTAATGTCATTATCTGTATCTGTTTGTACACAAAAGTTATTAAATTTTATATAAAACTACCTTCAGGGTAGATGTATAAGCTTTGTTATTCGTGAATTTGTTTTGTTCATGCTAAGCCTCGAAAGAAACACTATATAAAATTCGCTATTCTTCATCAATATTGTTGATTATGTTAAATCATTCAACTTTTTAACATGAAAAACCTGAAGATAATGTTAAAAATTGCCGTAAAACATTGTTTATTTATTTAAAAATAATGATGCATTATGAAATGTCTCTAATTTGTATTTAGATATATCTATTTTTAATTTTTTCTAACTGAATTGTTCACTTACATTACCTATGATCCATTATTGTACATAATTAGGTTACAATAAAATTTGTATTTTACATGAATATGTTATTAAGATTGAGATGTAGTAGAGTTTGGGGCTCCGTATAAGGGGTACAAGGAGAAAATTTGGACCTCAGTCAATTTAATCACTTCCTAGACTATGCATATACAAGCACAGATATGAAGAGATGGTCACTGATTATTAAAGCATTCTATAGGGCATGTCAACTGAATCTACTAGTAGAAAATAGTACTTGATTTCTCTCCCGAGGTTAATGTAATGATGATGAGTGGGTGCACATGATTATGGCTTGGTTATTTATATTTGGGATGAGAATGACCTTGAACAACAAGTGTTGCAAGTTCTAGACTCAATATAAATCATTTCCAAACCAGAAACTATGATCTGAACTTGGAATGGATTCAGTGATCGTTTGTACCCTAAATCCATCATAAAAATATAGGATATAGAATTAGTAAATTGCTATATACCGATCCTATGAACACTAATGTGTATGTATTAATACGTTAGACACTATTGCAAGTGGAGGCAATATGCTGTCTAACAGTGGTTTACGTACTTCACGCCGCTGGCGAGTATTGTATTTTGTTGATGTTATAAAGATTACAATTTCATTTCCAATCTCCGTTTTGGTTATTCCTCATTCAGTAACCCATTTTATGTTGCAACATACATACTAAACACTTCAAAGGCCTCGGTGAATGAATCAGATTTTTCAATCCGAGTGCCCCAACTACAACTGGAATTATTGGTGTCCTAATGTACCACATTTTCGAGATTTTCATTTCTCTTCAGTGTTTAAAAATATTAGAAGAGTGACGTAAATCATTGTGTTTATTATTATTATTATTATTATTATTAACTTTAAGCTTTCTGTTCAGTACAGACTATTACAGGGTCATTATCCGAAATCTAGGGAAAGGCAAGTTAGCATTCAGTTTGTACAAATTCTGCTGTTAAGTGATATTTAACATATACAATGTTTATATTTTCTTTACATTGATAATAATCTCTTGAATAGATTCGCAGCTTCTCACAGTGCAGTTTTTAAAAATCTCTTCTAAAGTGCTACCAGATATCTTGTTAATATGCTGTAACTTTTGTTAATTGTATCCAGGGCTCCAATTATTATTATTATTATTATTATTATTATTATTATTGTTGTTGTTGTTATTAATATTTTCTTGGGTTTCTGCTGTATACACATTTCCTTCCGGCTCCCAACCAGAGACCTAAGGACAGAAATGGCTTTATGATATCTTCCACTGATCATCTTTTGTAAAAAGTAAAAAAAAAAAAAAAAAAAATCAAACTATGAGTACACACATTTTACATAGATAACACTCTTTGTAATGCGTGAGCTGTACTTGTGAGTAAAACTTTTTGTATTTCTTTAAGACATTGGCTGTCAGGAATCCCTTCAACAAGTCTATCGAACACTTTTTCAATCAATCCGAGAGCACCAACTACAACTGGAATTATTGGTGTCCTAATGTACCACATTTTCGAGATTTTCATTTCAAGATATTTGTATTTTGAGAGTTTTTTGAAGATCTCCAAAGATACATTACAATCTGCAGGGACTGCCATGTCAATAAGAAAGCGCATTCTGTTTTTGTGGTTTTTGATCATGTTATATGCCGTACCTATGAACACTAATGGGTATGTCCCAATCCTCATAAATACGTTAGACACTATTGTAAGTGTGGGTAATATGCTGTCTAAGTAGTTCACTACTAGCAGTGGTTTACCTACTGTTGTGGATTCCGAGATGAAATTCGGTCTCCAATGAATGACAAACGCAAGAATTAAATATAAGAAATTAAATGTATTTACACAGTAATACAATGGGTAATACTGTTAGTAAATCCAGGAACGTTAGTAGCAATAAATAATATATATATATATATATATATATATATATATATATATATATATATATATATATATATACAGTCTCGAAGTAGGACTTCCTTAGAGTCTACGTGCTTGTAACTGACTTCTACAAACGGTTACCTCACACTATTACTCTACCTCCAACTCTGCTCACTCTCTCTATATATTCTGACTGACTCTGGGTATTTAACGGCAGCAGTCCAAGTAACACTCTGGTCGAGTCCACTTATATGAAAACGGGGAGGACCCCATAAAACCTACTTCATGCTGTTGGTGAGTATTATATTTTGTTGATGTTATAAAGATTACAATTTCATTCCCAACCTCCGTTTGGGTTATTCCTCATTCAGTAACCCTTTCTAGGTTACAACATAAATACTAAACACTTTAAAGGCTTCAGTGAATGAATCAGTTTTGTTTTTTTTTTCACAAAATTAATATAGGAGAAAAGGAAACTGAAAATAGACTAGGCTGTGGTAGAGTTTGTTTCGCCCAATACCGCAAATTGCTACACAACCAAAACAGCATAAAATACTCGAATATTGTACATAGATTCTTCAGATTGAGACTACCGGATGGATGCCATGCAGGGCAGGAAACTCGTTCACAAATGTCTAAACCAATGTTTCTCTTTTTTTTTTTTTTACTTCAGGACACACTTGTAGAATAACTAAAACTGAGGTGTGTACTTTCAATTTTAATCAGGAAAAATTTTCCAGGAAATTTAAAAATAGAAAAATAATAAAGAAGTTTACCGAAATAAGCGTTTATTTTTAAGACATTATATTATATACTAGCAGTATAACCCGTCTTTGACCAGGTCTTTCATTACAGGGAATTTTTGCCGTTCATTTGGAGCAGTTTAAGTTTAAAGTCAGCCCACTCGAAAATCAATATTAGTAACAACATTTGGGTGCAACTGTGGCACATCCCCAAATGGTGGGGGTCATAATTTGAATGTGGGTGGGTGACCCTGAAAAGTGCCGTTTTTGCGTTCTCAATCTTGCAAGGAAGAAACCTCTTCCATGGACCGTCATAATAATAATATACGATCATTTTTATTTATAATATTATTTTTTTTATAATTTTAATAATTTCTTGCGTTAGATTTCAACTCTTTAAATTGATTATACGCTGTTTTTACAGGCATTAAATTTTGCCTTTGATTCTTACGCAAAGTGTAAAAAATCAGATTTTTCGAATTTTCACCTGCAATGTTGTAATTTTTCCAGCCAATTTGGACTCAAAACCGGTACTAAAGAATAATCTGTCAAACAAAAAAATTTCATCGAAATTGAATGAAAACTTTGGAAACGTATTAACAACATCCGATCACACACACACACATTTTGAGAATTATAGATATTTAAGTACTCAATAGCTTTTGAAAGATAGGCCTTATAAGTTATGCGTTGAGGAAAGGTTTATCCCCTTATTAAAGATTAAGGAATTTAACATCCTCTTTAAAATATCAAATGACAAAGTCTTGCTTTAAACATGGAAGCCATGTGCTCGGTGTCTCTAGCTTTTTAAAAATAGAAAATTTTTAACAAAAAAAATAATTCATAAATTACACTTCTGTTAACTTGGAGTACGCCTGGCTACCTTTCACCTTTAGTTAACCAGGGTTGAGAAACACTGGTCTAGACTGTCAGGTATATGCAACCGTTTTCTAGGATCAATATTTAAAAATGGCTTCGAACGAATGAATTCTGTACATCTCAACGAGGACCATACTCCTTCAAACCTCGTGGAGATGCAATACATAATCATAAGCAAAAGAAATGTTCCAAATAACAGAAGCCATATTACTTATGGAGTTTTAAAAACAGCAGCAAGCTAAAGCGTATGTCATATGCAACTCGAATTTTAAAAAAGATTATAATAACATAATCAAGATGCATATTTTCATATTAATTCTAACAAAAGGTTAGGAAGTAAACCAGCACTAATGTCGGAAAGAGCGATAATGGGCTTGAGAAACCTATTACCCTGAAAAAGAATTTTAAGAGAAAGATTTTAGAATGTATAATCGAAAATAACACTGGCTGCTCGGTCACTAAAGGTCGAATATTTCCTTATAAATAATGTTTATTATTATTATTATTATTATTATTATTATTATTATTATTTCAATTCTATTACCAACCTACCTTTAACTCATTTTCTGTTTGCTTCAGGTTCCGCTTCTGACGTCTAACATTTTCCTGCACTGTCATAAAAGTCTCCAGTAATGTCGACCCCAAAGAGAGAACTGTGCAATGATAAAAAAAAATCAATATTATCATGAATTTTCTATGATTTATCAACACGAGTGAAAAGGGATATTTTTATTAAATTTATTATTATTTTGTAATTATTTATATATTAATCTTTCTTTTTTTTTAATTCAAACGGTAGATTTACCCAAAATATGTTAATCCTGTTTTGTTCTTTACTAAAATGGTAAACTGATTTTTTTCAGAATTAAGACCATAGGCAGGTATCAACAAACTGTATAATATTTGCAATAGCGCGGTTAAATCGTGGAAAATGGCTAAGAGATTGGCTGAAAACGCTTGGAACGAAGACTCACTTCGACAACTTTCGAAAAAAAATATTTTGTTCGCCCCCCCCCCTCCAAAAAAAATCATAAGACAAAAAATTTAACAGAAGAACTGCAGACTTGCGGCGATACCACGCTGTAACACCGGTTCCCGTACGATTACCGAAGTTAAGCAACGTCGATCCTGGTTAATAGCTAGATGGTTAACCGTTTGGGTGATGTAAGCTTGGTGATGTAATGTATAATGTCTTAGCATTATTCATCAGAGAGAAGTACCATATCAGTCATATACAATTTTTATCCAAATATATTGGACAAAATTATATAAAATTATATATATTCTCTACTGATATTTTCTGAGAAATTTCATATAATTTAATAATAGCTGATCACTCGTATTCGAGGATACCCATCTACTAGAGCGGCTAGTCAATCCCTATTGCAGATGCACGCTCAGGCACATTTGTGCTTCTTCAACACCCACAGAGCCCACTTGTATTTTATACTGCAGCTATCCAGCTATTAATTACAGTTTCTGGAAGAGAGCGTGTTATCTAGAATGCTCAACAGCACACTCACATCATGCGTCGTGAACTTTCCTACACACACACACACACACACACAAAATATATATATATATATAGCACAAAATTGTTCTTGGACAAAATTAGTTCACTTTCTGACCATCGATATTACACACACACACACACATATATATATATATATATATATGTGTGTGTGTGTGTGTGTGTGTGTGTGTGTGTGTGTGTGTGTGTGTGTGAATTGGGATTAAATGCAGATCAAAATGGGTTCGGAATTTGAGAGAATGATGACAAAGAACCGGTAGGAAACGTTTATCAATCTCGTATGTTTCAGTTTTATTCAAGCTTCACCAGGGAATTAGACATGGAGAAAAAAAAAATTTTCATTTGTTAATCAGGTTTCATGTGCATTTGACTTGTGAAACAAACGTTATTATAATTTATGGCGTTCACAATTCAAGGAGAGACGACGCGTTACTTCGAAGTTCCAAGAAAGCAACGGATTGCAAGACGACCTGAAAACCCGTAAATATTGACCGTAAATATTGCCTTATGTATGTAAGTGTATAATGGCTACACCTTCATCTTAACTAATGGTGTCAATATGGGAAACCCCTTACGTCCTGATTTCTCTAACTTTTATATGTCTTATATTGAAAGCAAAGTGATTAAAACAACAGATAAAACAGAAATATGAACAAGGTACGTTGATGACATTATTGTTTTAATAAAAAAAATAAGGACGAAATTATAAATCTAAAATCAACTTTTGAAAAAAAATCAACGCTAAATTTTACATATGAACTCAGGGTTAATAAAAAAATCCCATTCCTTGATGCTGATATAGAATTAAAAATCCATAGAATTTACCACTTCCCTGTATAAAAAAACATCAGTATTTCAATTTCAATGCCCTGTACAAAAGTGTGTTTCTTGTCACAAATCAAATACCTATATCGGACACATTAACACCTCTTTGAGTAGGCGCCTTACGTGTCACTTATCTGACCATAGTGGCATAAAAAACATTTATTAATCCATAACTTACAAGAACCCTTAAGGAAATTTCTGGTCGAAAATACAAGATGTCTATAGAAGTGGCTGAAAGCGCTTGAGGCAATAAAAATTATGGACAATTTTATATTCCTTAACTCCTACAAAACGGAAAAATGTTAGGATGCTGGGAAAACTTAATAAAAAATTAATTCAATCTTCCTTGTCGGCTGTATTCAATGAAAGATGTTTGAAAGAAAGATTGCTGCCAAAATATATACTTATACCCATATTTGAGTAGACATTCTGTTTATTTATTTATTTTCGTCTACCTAAATATTCGAGAAATCTTATTAATATATATATATATATATATATATATATATATATATATATATATATTCTTATCCACTAACAATAAAATTTAATTAATAAAAAATATATACACACGCAGGCGCGCGAGAGCACACACACACACACACACACATATATATATATATATATATATATATATATATATATATATATATATATATTTATGCACACACACACATATATATATATATATATATATATATATATATATATATATATATATATATATGTATGAATGTATTAGAAATTATATACGTATATCCAAAGGTATTTCGAATGTGGTTAATACTTAATATTAACTTCGGGATCAAGTACCTTGACAAAGTAAGGGATGATGTAGAAAAGTGAATATGTGTTGTGTATCATAAGTGCTTGTTTATTTCTGAGATTGTTGAGTTGTTGAATATACCTACTTATGATTCTCGCACCATATCCATCACTCTACGGAAACTACTTCTTTCTTTTCACATCTATCTATACCACTCTCTCTCTCTCTCTCTCTCTCTCTCTCTCTCTCTCTCTCTCTCTCTCTCTCTCAAATATATATATATATATATATATATATATATATATATATATGTATGTATGTGTGTATATAATAATTATAATTATTTCAAACCTTCAAAATTATTTCTTTCTGTATATCCTTGCTTGAACCGGCTTCTAATGTTCTGGACTGAGAGGCTTGGGGATAATAATCGTAGCTCGGGGAGGCACAGTCCTATGGGTAAAAGAGTAACTCGGAGAAGTTCCACCACGGAATTTGTGATCGAGCGGCGCTATATCGAGTCTAATTCGTTACCACATTCGTCCCCGAGAACCGTTGGTACAGTTGGTATGGTGTTTGCCTCCTATCGTAATTGTTCGGGTTTCAATTCTCGGTAGTAGATGCGCATTGCTGATGTAGTCCCGAATATAGGACGAAACGACCGTCTAGTGCTTTCTGCATTCTGTTGAGGTTTCTTCTAATAATTAGATTCTTATCTTAATCTAATTCTTATAATTATTTCAAATCCTCATAATTATTTCTCTCTATATATATATATATATATATATATATATATATACATTATATGTGCGGTACTTATTAGAAAGCGCTCAATATCAGAGATAGGGCTAACATGTTTGGTTGGATAGATGCGAGTTTGTGACCCTGGGTTTCACGCTTTAGCGATCGTCAGACAAACTGATTAATTTTTTTTTAAATTTGGGTTTATATAGATTGCGTGTATTGGTGTTATTGTGGAAGTGGTGGGGGAAACTTCGTCGCTTATGTCATCGTACTAATGCAAACATCGATGTATGCAGACACATATACATACTTGGTCGTCCGTCAGGACTCATACATATATAAACATATGTGGGCAGTTTCGGATATGACATATGTATGTATACGGGTGGTGTTATGTCTATACATACGCATTTGTATGTTGAAATTTAAAATAAATATAAAACAATAATATTTAGAATAAATATAAATAATAATATTTTTACCTATCATAATTTTACACAAACCCCACCACACGTATATACATATATGCGAGGAAATATTATTCAGCGGAAAAATAAATAATATGACATGTATACATTCACGAGACATTTCCGCCACACTTCCAATCTTTAAATTTCAACATTTGTTTCCCATACCGACAACACCAGATTCTTGATAATGTCGAAACTACTTGACCAAATCAAGAAAAAATATGAACTTCGGATATTTTATTCACAATTTTAATCACATTCGGAATTTGGAAAAAATATAATAAAAATTTAACAGTTGAACGTAACAATTTTTTTTTTCTAATTTCAAACGATATTATACTGGATTCTCGTATTTAAAATAGACGCGCCATTTTTATCTTAAACATAGAAGGACGCAGTTTCGAGAAACTACAGTTTGCTCCGCTAAGCTTTACCATTCAGCTACGTAGAGCTTCACAGTTCAACAAGGCTCTATTTTTCCCTTTTAAGGAAATTACACTTCTTCATTCAGTTTATTTTTTTCGAATGCCTATATCTAGTCAATTTCGTGTCAGGAATCTAAAAACAATGTTCCTGCAAATATATATATATATATATATATATATATATATATATATATATATATATATATATATATTGTAGCAATCGGACTTCTAGCTACACTGAAGAGCTGTGGTACAGCGTAACTGTCTGCCTGTGGATTTGTTGCACTTGAGTGCGTAAATCAAATTTTTGGAGTTTAAGTTTTTATTTACTTTGATTGTAGATGTGGCGTTTTTAAAAGTGTACCAGTTTCTTTCTATAATGATATCACAAACCCCACATCTTTTCTTGTTGCATTTAGTGACCCCTTATATTGAACGTTGACTAAATTTGGATGAGGTTAAGTTTTGGGTTTTTTGTTTGGCGATTTCTTTCGATTATTTTGGTTGCTTTTTGTATATCTTTCATTTTATCATTATTGTTAAGTATTAACACGAGATAACTGACATCCATTAGACATGGCACGTGGAACTAGAACAGTCTACCCCAGTGAGCGAAATAAAGGGTTCAGTTCGAAATTCCAACCACCTGAAGAAGGCCGGAGCGTACAACGGCCGAAACGTTGTGACAAATATGGCGACAAAGATGAGGACAATAGTCCGACTAATGTAAATACTGTACATAATGCCTCATCTCAGAAATATAGACAAACTCTGGTTTTTGTATATCTTTCATTTTATCATTATTGTTAAGTAGGTCTAAATTTCTTGTTATTTCTGTAAATAGTTCTGGATTATTCTTGTTGTATCTTGAGACGTATGCTAGAATTTGTTCGTTGTTGCGTTTATTTGGGTTTCGTAGTTGGCCTGAATGTATTTTTCTGCTAGCTCAAACCTTTTGTTTATTAGTGGTGCGGGGTAACCTCGTTTTTTGAGAGTTTTATTTACGTAATTCTTCTAGGCGAATTCTTCGAAAGTGTTTGTCAACTGATATGTCCCGGAAAGGGATATATTTGTTCGAAGTAGCAAAGTGGTTGTTGACTACTGTAAGCGGGTAGGACAATCTATCAGGTAACCGTAATGGGCTGGTCCTCGTCGTCCTGGTAGGCAATAGGCATAGGCAATAGGCGAAGACAATAGGCGTAGTCAATAGGCATAGACAATAGGCGTACCTCCACATCAGTATGTATTTATGGCTGACACCAGCCAATCATATTACTGTGAGGGGGGAACCCAGGTGTATGCATATTCATTACATCATCAACCACTATAGTACAAATCTTACGTGCTAGGGTATGGATTTCAAACAGCTTTTTGGGTGATAGCCCTTGAAATGAATATATG